ATTATTGTGAGGCTGAGTTGTTTTGCTCAGTACTAAATTAGTAATTTTCAGTTCCGTAATACCACAGTGATATTGCAAATAAAGAATGGGGTTCTCCTGATTCTCAAAGACATAACATGTATGCTTAATTTTACACAGAGCTGGCCCTTACTGCACAATTGCTTGTAGGTTATTATTATAATGCATATTTCTGAAAGTTTTTCTTGTCTTATTACTTTTATTTGGATGTTGTGGCTCCTAATCTGTAATCTTGATTTGCATTTCTGAATTTAAAATACAAACAGAAAAAAATGAAGTGTTGGTATCTATAAATAAAATATCACTGTACACAAATCATGAAATAAAGGAAGTCCTTAAAAGTAATATGGAAACAATCAGGAATTTAGGAAACAAAGTATGTCATCATGAGAAAAATACCCTAGTTTTACTAAAAAGCCATTTTTATCACCTAGTTATAACATGCTAAAAGTGGTGGAATAGAGTATAAATGTGGACAGACCCTAAAATATCAAAGTGCTACTGATCTGGAATTATGAAGCTTTTTCAGTGATCCATTAAATATAGTTTGATATCACAATGGCAATATAGGTTGAAAAAGCTTTTAAAAATCATTTAAAATTTACTCTTTTTGTCCTTCACTTTTAAATTTCCCCATATTGCTGAGTAAATGTAGGTAAAAGCATAAAATACTTTTACAGAATGCATGCTTATTTATTTTCCAGACTCCGACTCCCATTGGAATGAATGGCAAAAACTTCTATTCATGTTGGTGAGAGAAAATTGGATACTTCATTCACTGTTGCAGATATAATTATGCAATTTATTTATAATTAAGGTGAATATTCCTGATGTTTTAGATTTTAGTACCATTTTCATTCTGATTTCCCAATTGGCAGACATGTACAATTATTAATGGATCCTATTAGTTTGCTATGCTTTCATAGAATCATAGAATACTAGGACTGGAAGGGATCTCAAGAGGTCATTGAGTCCAGTCCCCTGCCCTCATGGCAGGACCAAATACTGTCTAGACCATCCCCGATAGATATTTATCTAACGTACTCTTAAATATCTCCAGAGATGGAGATTCCACAACCTCCCTGGGCAATTTATTCCAGTGTTTGACTACCCTGACAGTTAGGAACTTTTTCCTAATGTCCAACCTAAACCTCCCTTGCTGCAGTTTAAGTCCATTGTTTCTGGTTCTATCCTCAGAGGCCAAGATGAACAAGTTTTCTCCCTCCTCCTTATGATACCCTTTTAGATACCTGAAAACTGCTATCATGTCCCCAATCAATCTTCTCTTTTCTAAACTAAACAAAAAACCCAGTTCTTTCAGCCTTCCTTCATAGGTCATGTTCTCTAGACCTTTAATCATTCTTGTTGCTCTTCTCTGGACCCTCTCCAATTTCTCCATATCTTTCTTGAAATGCGGAGTCCAGAACTGGACACAATACTTCAACTGAGGTCTAACAAGCGCAGAGTAGCGCTGAAGAATGACTTCTCATGTCTTGCTCGCAACACACCTGTTAATGCATCTCAGAATCATGTTTGCTTTTTTTGCAACAGCATCACACTGCTGACTCATATTTAGCTTGTGGTCCACTATAACCCCTAGATCCCTTTCTGCCATGCTCCTTTCTAGATCGTCGCTTCCCATTCTGTATGTGTGAAACTGATTGTTTCTTCCTAAGTGGAACACTTTGTATTTGTCTTTATTAAACTTCATCTTATTTACCTCAGACCATTTCTCCATTTTGTCCAGGTCATTTTGAATTATCACCCTATCCTCCAGATTAGTCGCAACTCCTCCCAGCTTGGTATCATCTGCAAACTTAATGAGCGTACTTTCTATACCAATATCTAAATCGTTGATGAAGATATTGAACAGAGCTGGTCCCAAAACAGACCCCTGCGGAACCCCACTTTTTATACCTTTCTAGCAGGATTGTGAACCATTAATAACTACTCTCTGAGTACGGTTATCCAGCCAGTTATGCACCCACTTTATAGTAGCCCCATCTAAGTTGTATTTACCTAGTTTATTGATAGGAATATCATGTGAGACCGTATCAAACGCCTTACTAAAGTCTAGGTATACAACATCCACCACTTCTGCCTTATCCACAAGACTCGTTATCCTATCAAAGAAAGCTATCAGATTGGTTTGACATGATTTGTTCTTTACAAATCCATGCTGGCTGTTCCCTATCACCTTGCCACTTTCCAAGTGTTTACAGATTATTTCCTTAATTACTTGCTCTATTATTTTCCCTGGCACAGAAGTTAAACTAACTGGTCTGTAGTTTCCTGAGTTGCTCTTATTTCTCTTTTTATGAACATTATATCTTTGTTCAAAAGTATGTTGTATAAAATGGATTAAAAACACATCCCAGGTAGTGATACACATTTTTAGATTTTAAGTAAAAAGATAGTAAAAAGTGCCTCTTGTAACAGTGTTGTACCCTCATCAAAAAGATTGCAAATTTTCATGTATTGTATTCTCTGCAGATGGAATGGTTCCTTTAAGAGAAAATTCCCATCCTTCTGAAGACTGATTTACAGTGCTATTTAATACTTTATTAAAGATTCTCATTGACTCAACCCTTGCCTCCCTCACATACACCTCTGCCACAGATACTTCATTTAATTTGTATATATTAAATAAAGGTTGAGCGTATAGCAGTGTCTATTGTAACTAGTATGCTGTATTCTCAACAGAGGCATAGTTTTCACAGTGATTAAAAATGTATGATAATTTACAAGAAATTTAGAAAATTGCAGAAGACATAAAACTAATGAAAGATTTATTGGTAATATGATTTCTGTTTAATTGAAATATTTTAATCTGTAATTAGCTCCCTAATATTGGAGTAAAATGTTGCTGTACTAAATTTTTTATTTTTAATATTGTGGCATTATTTGACTTTGATAATTTATAAGTAACCAAAGTTTAAAAATGCTGATGTCAACTGCTCTTTGCAATTATTTTTTTATTTAAAAAGGGGGGGTATCTTTTGGATAAGATGTAAACCAAAATTGTTAACCATTTGTGATTAAGGAATTCAGAGAAGGTTTTTTGTTTTAAGAGTAGGCCAGTTAGCACTAGTGTCCACAGTGTAACTCAGGAAGTTACATTTTACCATCATATTTTTCCATGCAGTTTCAATGGCTTATGGTATTCTTTGTTTTTATTATGTTGTGCTACTTTGCATTGTTAAACATTGCCTCACTTCCAAGGTAGCTGCATTTTAGCTGATTAATTCATCCTTAAAATCCAGAGGCAGGATCAACTAATAAATATCTCAGTACATTTATGCATGTACAATTCATTGACTGCTTGGTTAAGTAATTACAAAATATAAATGGTGAAGAATCAATCTTAGTTTCCAAAAGCACAGTTTAGGTTCCTTTGGAATAAAACATGCTATATGGCTGTGTCTACACTGGGCCACTTATTCCGGAAAATCAGCTGCTTTTCTGGAATAAGCTGCGAGCTGTCTACACTGGCCCTTGAATTTCCGGAAAAGCAACGATGCTCTACTGTACAAAATCAGCCGCTATTCCAGAAAAACTATTCTGCTCCCGCTCGGGCATAAGTCCTTATTCCGGAACACTGTTCCGGAAAAGGGCCAGTGTAGACAGCCCAGTAGTCTTTTCCGGAAAAAAGCCCCAATCGCGAAAATGGCGATCGGGGCTCTTTTCTGGAAAAGTGTGTCTACTTTGGCCACAGATGCTTTTCCGGAAAAGCAGCCTGCCAATGTAGACGCTCCTTTTCCGGAAAAACTGAAAACGGAATAGTATTCCGTTTTAAGCATTTCCGGAAATTCATGCCAGTGTAGACACAGCCTATATGAATTAAGGATGTAAGTGACTAGTCAAGAAGTCTACTGCTTGATAAGCCTGAGGCTAAATCGTGTAGTTAAGTCAATTACTCACATTTCCCCTCCCACCCCTTGCTGCATCTCTATCAGATGCAGCAAGGGGGGAAGCAGGAGCCAGTGCTGGGGGGAGCCAGCTTAAAAGCTGGTTCTGCCCAGCTTCATCTCTGAGGTGCTGCTTGCCTCCCCTCCCATGCTGCTGCCTCTAGGCAGCAGTGTGGGATGCAGGGTAGAGGAGGCTGACTGGGCTGGCTGCAAACACAGGCTGCTCCAGCAGCAGCTTCTGTCCACAGGGCGTTCCAGATCCCTGCTGGGACCCAAAGTGGGTAAGGGCTGCTGGACCCAGTGCTAGCTGGGCCTGAGGAAACCCGGCTCAGTCCCAGTTCGCCCCAGTTAGTGCCGGATACAGGACCTACCCCCACTGCAGCTCTGTTTGCATGCCTTGCTCCTACTAAGTTTAAACTGCAGAGCTGCAGTGGGGATAGCTCCTGGACCCAGCACGGGCCAGGATAGAGTGCCTTCTCTCATTGACTAATTGTGTAGACAATACAAATTATATCGACTACATGATTAGCCAATTACCCGCCTCTTAACATGCTTAATATGAATAACATGCACTTGTACTGTTTCATTCACTTTTATGTTTTTAAATTAGTCCCATAAGAGTTTTTTCCCCATTGATGCATAATGTTTTACAATATGGCTTGATCTATAATGAATAGTTGGATATTTGTTCGCGGTATTTGAAGGATTTTTTTTTAAAGTTGAATAAATGTAACACATTATATAGCCTTTTTTATATTATTATTTTTTTTAAGATCTCTTGGGCATGAGCCACAAAGCGTATAACCAGCCATGAAGGAATTAACTGAACATCTTGTCTCTACTTCTGAAAATCTGTTACTTGAATATGGACAAACTACCAATCAAACCCACGATAAGAAACTGAAAGATCTTGTTATAGTTCAGTTAAATGGACTATATTTAAAGAACGTGAAACATGTGCAATACTGTGTTTTGCTTAAAGTATGCATTTTGTCTAATAATTATATTACAAATATTGATGCACTTCAGTGTTGTACTCATTTAGTTAAGTTGGATCTCCATGGAAATCAGGTAAACAGTTGTTTTGAAGATATGCAAAACAGAATAGTTCAGTGACGTAAATTAATCTGTAAACTTGTGTGTTTTCATAATATTTCTTAGAAGCAATTAGGTTTTAAATGCAGACGTTAATGGCATTATTTGTTCATAGCAGTTTCTCTCTGATTTAATATTTTAAATCTGCTATGAAAATCTCTATTCAGGAACAGTTGGTAAAATCTTGGATGCAGTGGAGATAATTAGTTTGCTATTGACTCAAGTGGGCCCAGGATTTTACCTTATGTCTACCTTTTTTCTATGCCCTGGTCTACACAAGGGCTTTATTTTGAAATAACTCCCATTGGTCGAATTTATAAGCGGCGCATCCTCGCTACCAAGCCTGTTATTTTGAAATAAGGAGCCACTTATTTTGAAATCTGTACTCCTGCTTTTCTTGGGGAATAATGCTAATTTTGAAATAGTTATTTCAAAATAGCCTTAGTGCGGATGCTCTGGTGCTGCTATTTCGAAATAACTATTCCCCAGAGTAATTTGAATGAATTACTCCTCAGTACTTCCTAGGGCTCTAAGTCGAGATAGTATGTCCACGTTAACAGAGCCTACCTTGGACTAATTTCAAGGCTTTCCCGTAGTGTGAGCATGCTATTTCAATTTTGTAAATCAGGAGTTAAGTCAAATTTAATAATTTCAAAATAGTTTCTAACTGCAGGACATGCCTTAAAAATGCACCTATTACAAGGGGGTTCTCATTCTTTCTGGAGCCTCTATAGCTAACGTCTTAAGCAATAATAGTAATAATTCCACACATTTGCATAACATTTAAAAAGGTCTGTCAAGATGATACAAATACAGAATTTGGTGGGTTGAAGAGTGATAGCATGTAATGGAGTTTTCCCCAATTTTCCATTCATCTTCTAATACATAGATGTTAACAGTGGAAGAGACCTACTCCATTTAGGGTATATCTAAACTGGAATTAGACACCCAGCTGGCTCATGCCAGCTGACTCTTGTTGCAGAGATGTTTTATTATGGTGTAGGTGTTCCAGCTGAGGCTGTCAACTGAGTTCTGGCCTTCTTCCACCTGGCAGGCTCCTAGAGATCTTGCTTCAGCCCAAACCGGGACTTCTACCTGGCAATTAAATGGCCTCACAACCTGAGACCTGTGAATCTGAATCAGGTAGCATGTGCTAAACTGTGGGTTTTTAATTGCAGTGTAGACATACCTTTAATTTTCTCACATCTTTAAATGATTGTTCCTTCTTCTATGTTAACAAGCTATTCTAAGTCTTGTTTTAAATGATTGAAACAGTAGGGATTTCACTACTTCCTTAGGGAGTCAGTTCTACATTATTATGCAACTTTTTTGTTTATATTAGGTCAATATCTTCCTTTTATGGGTCTGTTCCATTAATACTCTTAAAATATAATAGATTAGAACTGGGTTTTTTTTTGGGAGGGAGGGGTAAGGGAATAGAAAAATCTATCCTCCTAGTGTTGAAAAAAGTATCATCTACTGGGAATAAAGCCTTTGGCATGTGGCATTGGAAATGTCACTGGAAATGGATTTTCAATTCATGGAGCAAAAGTTTTCAACAACATTTGACCTTTTGATCTTTTTTGTGAGCTGGAGATATGAGAGAAGCCACAAACAGAAAGATGCTGAAAAACAAAACAGAAGAAGCAAATCCAATATTGCTACCTATTGTGGTTTGTGTGAGATTGTGGCTTTATACATATGTAAACTGATTACACTAAAAAGTGATTAGCTCCAAAATTTTTCATCTTCTTACATTGTTAATAGCTAACAGCCATGATGCCCTGGAAGGCTTACATATTTAGTGACATTCTGGTCACCAAGGGTGCCATTTTGGATGTGTAGAAGGGACAGCAGTCATGTGTTCCAGGATGTGGCTAGCTTTTCATCCTGTTCCCTGGACGCTAAGGTAGTGAGGGGACAGTACTTATATTCTGTTCATGCCTCTCACCTGCCTGGTAAAGGGAGCTCACCAGCCAGGTGTGAGAGGCATGCACGGAATTCAAGCAGTGTCTCCTCACTCCCTTAGCGTCTGGGGAATGGGATGAAAAGCAAGGTGCGTCCTGGAGCACACAACTGCAGCCCCTCCTATCCTCCCAAAATGGTGTCCTTGTTGGTCAAATCATAAAGTAGCTTTAATTCTGAATAAAAATTAGGGTTACATATAGCCCTGGTGTAGTCAATGGAGTTGCAGCTACTTTGGTCATTGTGGCATTTTATAATGCAGGATTTAATAAATTATACACTTCAAGTTTCATTTTTATCATTATTTCAGATTCAGAGTCTTCCTGCCCCTGTGTTTTGGGAAGGCATGAAGGAATTAAATCTACTCTATCTTCATGACAATGGAATTGGAAAACTGGATATTGTGCGTTCGTTATCTTTCTGTCCCAATCTGATAGGCCTTACCTTGTTTGATACTCCACTAAGCCTAAGAAAAGCATATAGGCATATTGTTGTTAACAGTATTTTCTCGCTCAAAGCACTGGATTACTATGTAATTTCTGATGAGGAAATTGTTGAGAATTGGAAACTCCCTGCAAAATATAAATCATTTAGCCCAAGCCTCTTCCTTGATTTTTGCCCTGCGCCTAGAAAGGTAAGCAATTATGTTACAACAATTATTATTATATATTAATAAAATATTGATGTAGTTTTCTTTGAATGTGTTGCACTGATTATTATACAGTTTATGATAACTATGTTAAAACTGTTCCACATTTTTTGGTTAGCATAAAGCAGGGTGGGGAACTTCAGGCCCAGGGGCTCAATGTGGCCCCCAGCTTGCCTGGATCAGGCCACCGAGGCTCAGATACTGCCCTCCCTGCATTGGGGAGCTTGCATTAGTACTCCAGCCCCCGCTGCCCCACTGCAGGGCCGGAGCACAGAAAATCTACTAAAATGGGTCCCCCTAAGCTCTGATTGGCAAGGGGAATGTGGAGATTGTCTATCTCCTCAATTGGGGTCCATGTCAGTGGGGGTTGGTTTTTTTTACTTTCCATTTGTGTGTGGCCCCTGACTGGTTTTCCTATGGATCAGTGGCCCTCAACCCAAAAAAGGTTCCCAACACGTGGCATAAAGCACGTATATTAAAACAGTTATATTTAATAAAAATCTTAATCTATATAGTACACAACCATTGGTTTGCCATTGTATTCCTATCTTCTTACTGACCAGGACCGCCTCTGTCCCGAGCCTCCCAACCCTCAAGTGCCCTTTAGGGAGTGCAGGGGGTTGAAGCTCCCCCTGAATTTGTATGGGAACATTCCTGGCTGTTCTCCTTCATCAAAGAGCAAGGGGGAAATGAACAGTTTCTGCATTCCTCACTCTGACTGAGGTACACAGGGGCAGAGGAACCTGGACCTGTCCCAGGTAGGAGGACAAGCATCTCTCCCCCAGCTGTGCCCACTGGAGCTGCAGTGACCATGGAGAGGTGCTTCTCACCTAGCCCAAAGCTGCTGCAGTGAGAGAGGTGGGGTTGTACAAGTTGTACCTTCCTGGACTAGCACCGTCGGGACCTAACTGGTCCTGAATGAGAAAATTTGCTGGACCGGGAAAGTTTCCCCTGACACTGGCCCTGAGCCAGCCAAACTGCTGCCTATGGCTCCCTCTACCCTCTCCTCAGCCAGGCTGTCTGCCCTGCTGCTGCCAGTCCTTTGGTCCTTTCCCCAGGCTGCAATGGATGGCTGGGGTCCTCCAGCCCCGATCTTATTCTCCGGCCCCAAGCTCCCAGTGGCGGCTGGGCTTCTCCAGCTCCCAGCCCTGCTCTTCCACGGGCGGCTAAAGTTCCCTAGTCCCACACTACTGCGGGCCTCTGGGGTTCTTAGGCCTCAGCTCCAGCACTGCTGTGGGGTTGTGGCCCTGCTGCCCCTGACCAGGCGGCTAGCCCTTCTGCCATTATGCTTCTGGACCACAGATGTTGCCAGACCAGAGTACCGGTTTTCAGATGTGCAACCTGTAGTCCTCTTCTCTCCTCCTCCCCCCCTGGGGAAGCCTGCACACTGAACCCCTCAGCCCCACCCCAGAACAACAATTCAGATGAAGCATGTACATTTTCATTTTATTTTGCAAAAAACAAAAATTGAGTTAAGGACCTGAGCAACACCGGTTAAATCTTCTAGTGCTTTGATTAAAAAAACCCAAAACATTAATATGTGTCATACAATATATGAACATTTGAAATAGGTTCCATCCTACCCCATAAGTACCAGGTTTGTGAGACATCTTCCAGCTACCTGCCCTTAGCATAAAATAGACTTGTCTGTGCCAGCTGTAGATCAGCTTCCTGAATCCACCAGACTTTGGCAGCACAAGTACTAACTCTAGGCCTTCCTCTTTCTGTACAAGTAAAGACTGGTACATACCAACTACCCCCAAATATTTGGTTCATTATCTATAGTGTTCATTGAACATTTACAGAATTACTGGGAAAAGTACACACCAGCTTATAAGATTCAACACTTTGCTTAACACCACAGCACTTAAATCAGCAGTGTGCAACCCTGTGGCTCATGACCCACCTGTGGCCCATCGTGGTTCTATGAGTGGCCCGTGAGGCATTTTATTTATCATGGCCCATGTGCAGGGTTTCCAGATTCCACTGGTTTCCATGTGCAGTTTTTTTCCTAACGGTATTACTAAAGTGAGATGCATGTAAAACGAGCATGTGAAGTGAGATGTGTGCTGATTGCATGCAACATTGACTGTAAGAACTGTGTACTCTGTATCCTATCAAAGTGCTACTATAGTTCAATTGGCTCACCTGACATATTAGGAATGCAAGCGCATTGGGAGACCATCTTGGTTACAATAATCTTGTGGCCCATTCAGATGGAGGCCATCACTGACTTAAATATATCTCTAGTGAAAGCAATAAATTTATAATTAAAGAATAGAGATTCAGGTAATAGTAAGTAAGAGTATTGGAAACAAATAATTCTATGTAAATCAAAATCAGACTAACAATATGAATGGAGATTGCCTAGCTCCTAGAACTGGAAGGAGCCTTGAAAGGTCATTGAGTCCAGTCCCCTGCCTTCATAGCAGAGCCAAGTATCATCCCTCACAGATTTTTGCCCCAGATGGCCTTCTCAAGGATTGAGCTCACAACCCTGGGTTTAGCAGGCCAATGCTCAAACCGGTGAGCTATCTCTCCCCCTGAAAGGCTGAACTCATCCAAAATTTTAATATTTCAAACACTGATTGAGAATTCTTTTGCATGAACAAAACACTGTTCCTTTTTCCTTCTCAGCTGAAGGGTGCCATGGAGTCTTTAATAAAATTCTCTTTCCCCATTGTACTTTTCTTCCTCTTATAAAGAACTTCAGAGAGATCTTGCCCTCCTTAATTTGCATTCAGTACAGAGTGGTGATAGATGACCCATTGTGAATGAGAAAATACTTGATTTACACATAAACAGGTTAAATGGATAGATATAATCTGACAGAAAACAACATGTTTTTTTCACTTTTGCTGGTGAAATAACTTAATTCAAAGTTTAAGAATATATTTTCAGTATGTATGCATACATTCTTAAGAGTACTGTCAGGAGGCAGGTGGACTACCCCACCAGAAGTCCAACAGTCCACGCCCCGCTTGACGTCCCACTGGACCAACCCTCTCTGTGTGCTCCCTGCTACCCATGCCATCGGCAGTCTGACAACATACTGTCCTGGAATCGTCCGCTTCCCGGGCCCTCCCTCACTCCAAGCCCCGACCCAGAGCCCTAAGGATTGGGACGGAGTCTCAGTTCTGGTTGGTGGGGGTTCCGATCCGTAACACACCAACCCCCCCCCCTGCCCTGGGTCGCTTCCTACCTTCCTTGCGTCTGTTGCGGTTCAGGGTCGCCCCTCCACTCTCCTCTCAGCGACCTCATCTCCTGGTGGCACCGCCTCTCTTAAATGTCCCACCACCGGTGTGTCCAACGTGAAGGGGAGGAGGGGCCACATCAACGTCCTTGGCCACTCCCCCTCTCCTATTCCCTGCTGCCTCTGGCCTGGGCTGACATTGCCGGCCACCCCGGGCATGCACAGTCTTGGCAGAGGCCAGAGCGCCCGCATCTTCTCCTGCCCCTCGGGTCCCACCGGGCTCTGGCGCGGGGTGCAGGGCAACCTCTTTCGGCCCCCCAGCCACGGCGGATAAGGCGGAGCACTGCTGGGGCTGGCGCAGGGCAGCCCCCCTTTCCCCACAC